TCTGTTGACGACCAAGCTCAGGATTTCTTTATCAGTCAAGCTCCTAGGAGAAGCAGGAAACAAACAAGAACATGGTGATGTGTTTTATCCCAGCAGGCTCTGCTTGCGTGGGCTGAGGAACCTGCAGACAGGGAGTTTCCTGGCTGTAGCTTTTCATCACTCCTTCACCAGTAGATATGGCATTGGTGCTGGGAAAGGGTCACACTGTGACACTCTCTCCATCAGCTTACATCTGCTATCTGAAATTTTCCCATCACTCTGGGGAAACAAATCGTCCTCTGTAAATAACACGGCTGATCTCAGTTGGTTTCTTCTCTCCACTCTCTCTTTTCTTTCTTTTTTTTCTTTTTTTGCTTGTCGCACTATTTGACAAGCTCTGCTTTTTCCCCTAAATAATTTTGTTCTAGGCTGGCTGCTGACCTGGATATAACCCAGGCAGAAAGCAAGTCTATTTGCGACCCGTCTGCTGCCAGGCACCCTCCACACATGGCCCAGGAAGGAATGGTTAGCAGTCTGTGCCTGCTTGAGGACTCTCCCAGCCATGGCTGCAGGGCGGGGGTAGGGGAGCAGAGTCCACACTGCCAGCAGCAGCTCCCACTGCAGCCCTGAGCCCTCGCCTCCAGGGCAGCGGCAGAAGAACATGGCTGACCTTGGCTGGAAATGCCTTCTGATTCTGGGGAGCAGGCCAGCGGCAGGCACACAGAATGTCAGCAAACAAGGCGGTGCTACAGATGGTTCCAAACTGGCATCACTCCAAAGGTCCCAGGGTACATTTTCTCTTTCCAGACACAGAAACCTGAGAAATCACAAGGCTTAAAAAGTCAGAGCATGTCACAAGAGGCCAAGGATGTCCAGGGTGGAGGGGCTTATGGGGAGGTCATCATCCTCACCCAGCCTTTGGTCTCCTTTCTGCAGACGTTTTCCACAACACGGTATCTGTTTACCAGCTCTTAAATAGTCATCAGGTTCCATTTTGAAAGCAAAGAAAAAGCAGGTGGATTCTGCAGGCCGTGACACTCCTGCTTCCACCTTCTCCTGAGATCTTTCTGGTTTTCTGTAAGCAGATGCTCTTCCCACTGAAGTAATGAGCAGCAAAAGCAGAAGAGGGCCAAGAGTTTGTTGAAATCTGTAATTAAGACTTCAGGTTCAGCTCTTTTGCCCATTTTTCTTTTTGGTTGTCTTCAGCTGATTCGTAGGATTTCTTTATCCTTCTTGCAAATATCATCCTCTGGGTTGTGGTTGTCTTTTCATTTTATTTATGGCATGTTGATGAAAAAATATTCTTAATGGAAAGAATGTATTGATTTTTCTCTCATGGTTTGCATTTTTATGTCTTATTTAGGAAATCAAGGTCATAAAGCTACTTTTAAATAATTTTTTCTGAAATTTTTAAAGTTCAGCATTTCCCATTTATGTCCATAATCCATCCAGATATTTGTGCATGGTACGTTTACTAATGTTTTCTTCAGAATTTTTGTATCTATCTTCATGAGTTAAACTGGCCGATGATTGTTTTTTCTCATATTGTGCTTTCCTGGTTTGGGTTTCAAGGTTATACTGGCCTCATCCAATGAGTTGGGGAGCATGTCAGTCTGGGTCTCCACAGTCAGCACAGGCACACTTGCAACAGGAGAGTTCAGGGAAGTTTCCATACAGGGCACTGTGCAATGGTGCAGGTGCACAGAAACCCCAGGGCACAGGGCAAATGTCTGCAGCTAGCAGCAGCCATGCCAGCAACCCTAAGCCTGAAAGATGAGGTAAACAATCTGGAAAGAATTGGAGTGCCAGTTGGCCACCTTGTAGAGGGAGCAGGGGACAAACACCATGATCTCAATCCCCTCTGTCCTCTACCTCATGCCTAGGCATCTTGTTGTCAAACACAAACAGAAGTTATAGGGCACAAGAGCCCTACTGATGGAGTCCACAGCAGCCTGTGTTGTGGAGCAGAGAGCAGCATGGAGAAAGTGCATTAGTCAGGGTTCTCCAGAGAAACACATAGATATGAAGATATTTATTATAAAGGATTGGCTTGTACAATTATGGAGGCCTCGAAGTCCACCATCTGCTGTTTGCAAGATGGAAACCAAAGAAAACCAATGGTATAGTTTGAAGGTCTGAGAGCTGGAGAGCCACGGGTGTAGATTCCAACCCGAGTCTGAAGGCTTAATAACCAGGAGCGCTGAGGACAGGAGAAGATTGATGTCAGAGTCCAAACAGCCAGGCAGAGCTAATTCAACCATCTGCCACTCGGGCACTCAGTGGATTGGATTGGATGGTGTCACTCACATTGGAAGCCATTTGCTTTTACTCCGTCCACTGATTCAAATGCTGACCTTTTCCAGAAACATCCTCACAGACCTATCCAGAAATAACATTTAACAGATATTGGGCATTCTGTGACCCAGTCAAGTTGACACATAAAATTAACTATAACAGAGGGGTAGCAAGTGGGGCTAGGGGGCAAACAGAAATTAGCCAGCGCCAGACGATTTCCCTCTGTCTTAATTCTCTTGAAGAGCTGCTAGTTTTTACCTTTTTACCCGTTCCTTTTAGGGATTGGGAAAGGGAGATTCTATGATCTGACTTCATTTCATTTCTTTGTCCAGATACTCTCCCAATGTGGAGCTGATTTTCATCATTTGCAGAAGTTATCTTCTATAAAATCTCTGCAAACACAGAAGTAGTAAATGCTAAACCATTGTCCCCAGGAAAAATACAAGGCTTGGTTTCCTTGAGTCTCTGGTTACAACACTTTCTTTTAATTGATCAATATATAACCTCGTTTTATGTGTGTCTCTAGTTAGAGGTGTCTTTTAAAATGTATATAGTTGACTCGTTATCATCAAGCTCATCACCAAGAGCTCTGTAAATGCCTGAATGAAGCTTATTTAAGACACATTTTCTCCATAAGGCACCTCACAGCCTTCCTGTGCTTAGGAACTAGATAGCACTGCAGCACTATGCCTGGGGATTTAAATGGCAAAATCGCCAACCAAAAAAGCACAAAACTGAAACCACATGTGGTGGCTCATACCTGTAATCCCAGCACTTTGGGAGGCCAAGGCTGAAGGCACTTGAGCTCAGGAGTTCAAGATCAACCTGGGTAACACAGCAAGACCCCACCTCTTAAAAAAAAAAAAAAAAAAAAAAAAAACACAAAATTGCAAAATGTGACGCTAAACAGGCTGTGAAAAAGGACACTTGTTAACAATATAAAAGCTGGAACAAGGCTGGGAGTGGTGGCTCAAGGCCAAGGTGGGTGGATTACCTGAGGTCAGGAGTTCGAGACCAGCCTGATCAACATGGGGAAACCCCATCTCTACTAAAAATACAAAACTTAGCTGGGTATGGTGGCATGTGCCTGTATTCCCAGCTACTTGGGAGGCTGAGGCAGGAGAATTGCTTGAACCCAGGAGGTGTAGGTTACAGTGAGCTGAGATCGAGCCACTGCACTGCAGCCTGGTAGACAGAGTGAGACTCCATCTCAAAAAACAAACAAACAAACAAAAAACAACAACAGCTGGAACAAGAAGGCAGAGTGTTGCTGTGTTTGACCTCAGCTTGGAACATATGTGTCAGGCCACCCACATTTTTTCCCACTCTGAATGCCCGTGAATGACTGCAAAAGTGCCACAAGTGTTGATTTTAGGATTGCAACTTAATTTCAGCAAGTAGGTGAATTTGCAAATATGAAATCTATGAAAAATAAGGGTTGATTGTTTTTAAAGCCAGTTACTACCATGCTAAGAGTAGATTTGTGAAGACCCAGTTCTTCCCACCTGATTACGAAGAAATGCTAGCACCGCACCCTAAATAAGCCTGGGACAGTGTAATTTAGTGATGGGAAAATTATTTAACTTTCCAAGACAGTCTTAGATGTTTCCATAAGAGCCAGATGTGATGCAAACCAAATATACCACAGTGGAAAAAGGTTTTGTGAAATTTGATTCATTCAACTATTGGCCATTAACAATCAATTACAAACACTTATAGCAACAGAGAAAATATATGTTTCATAAACAAACAAAAAATACAAACTACAAGCATACTCCTAATCATACTTACATGTGTGTAAGTTTCATGGACAAAAATGAGATAGCACTATATATGTATAAAAAATTAAAAATGTTTCGTTGGGTAGGTAGAATTATGAGCATCTTTTTTTCCTAAAATTTCTCCTAATGTAATATTAAATAATGATGTGAAAGGAATTCAAAGAGTATGTGGGAAATAAACCATTTTTCCCTTTAAGCAATTGTGTCTGTGGCTCATAACCATAACTTATATTAAGCATAGATAAGAAAGGTCCTAGAACATATAATATAAATAAAAATTGTCAAAATGATCTTTTGCCCATTTGCCATAAATAAAGGCATCAAGTTAATTTCAAAACTTGTTTGTAGACTTTTATATCAGCTAATAAAAAGAAGAATATTTGGTCGGGCACAGTGGCTCATGCCCGTAATCCCAGCACTTTGGGAGGCAGAGATGGAAAGACTGCTTGAGCTCAGGAGTTTGAGACCAGCCTGGGCAAGACAGCAAGACCTCATCTCTACTAAAAATAAAAATTAAAAAAACAGCTGGGTTTGGTGGTACATGCCTGTAGTCCCAGCTACTCAGGAGGCTGAGGTAGGAGGATCACTCACTCCTGGGAGATTTAGGCTGCAGTGAGCTGTGATTGTGCACTTCAGCCTGGGCAGCAGAGCAAGACCCTGTCTCAGAAAAAAAAAAAAAAAAGAAGAAGAACACTTACTAATGACAATAATATGTATTTTCTCATAAGCATTTATTTTAACTTAATTTACCATTTTTTGTTTTCCCTAACAGATATTTGTGTATATTTAATTTTACCTTTTCTAACTTTTTGGTCTGAATTTTGTAAAGTCATTTTTTAAGGAAAGGTTAAGTAAGATTAATAAAGTTACATTTGGGGAAACTTGTGACAATTTTGACAGGGTGTGAAATGTCACCCCACACACATAACACACAAACACGTAAACTGATGTTGTTTCAAAAAGTTTTTTAGAGATTAACAAAAGCTGTTTAATTATTTCTCTGAAATGTGCCATTCAAATGTTCTTGGGTTTTGTTAGTCTATGAGAAAAATGAAAAGAATCACTGTAAATAGAACAATTAAATTCTATCCTTAGATTTGCACAACCTCATCCACACAGATGGAAGATTTATTTTCATTAATGCATTCCTTTAACGATTTTGGGTGAAGAGCCTCCTGAAATGGACTTCCTTCTTCCCTGCCTTCTGAAGTAGAACACTCTGCTTTAGATGGTTTGACCTTGTCCGATGACTCTGAGCCACGCTTAGCATTTCAGGCAGAAGCAAGGCTGAGATGTCATCAGAGGAGGCCACTGCAGACCTGGGCAGGTACCCTTGGGCCATACCATGCAGGGCCATGTGAGCTGAGGGCTGTCCCCCAACCCCAGCGTAGGGGCTCCAGCTTCCCAACTTTGTCAATGCAACCAGAGTGGACCAGGGTGAGCACGGACTCCCTCTAACCTAGCTGTTGTGCTGTGAAAACATCTGCAAATCCTCGGAGGCCCTCCCATCAGGAAATGGTGTCTCATTTCCCTCCCCTTGAATGTGGGTGAGCCTTCTTGCTTTGCTTCAGTGAAGCAGCAGTGATGTCCTGTAACTTTCCATACTGGATCTTTGCCTGGTGCTTTCTCTCCTTCTGTGAACACACGCAGATGGCTACACCCTTTCTCCATATCGATTCTGTTCTTTTCTGACTCTGGCTTTCTTAGTGTTGGGGTTCTCCAGTAGCTTCAGGCCTGTCTTGATGGATCATATTTCGGGGTGTGTGTTGATTCAGTCTGAGCGTCCAGGTGTCCACCTCCATCTGCTCACAGGGAAAAGCCAGCAGTACTGTTGGCTCTGCCTTGTTCAGGCTACAGGCTCCTTTCCTGCTCTGACTTCTCAGAAACTCCCCGAAGCCTTTTTCTTCTTTTCTTACACGTGTCTGGAGTTTCTGAAAAGCAAGGCACATAGAGGCTAGTGCAATCCACTAGGACTTGTGCAACGATAAAATTGTTCTCTGTGCAGTCCAATATAGTAGTGTAGGGCAGCATCTCATGCTCCATCCACCTAGGCTCCTGGTGGAGTCTGAAAATTAAACTTATATAAGACAAGTTAATAGCAGAAAAGCACACAGATGTATTTGATACAAGTTTTACATGGCATGGGAGGCCTCATAAGGAAATAAAAACCCAAAGAAGCAGTTAGAGTATGTTACTTATTTACTGAATTGGACAAAGAATAGTAAACTGAAAACGTGATGAGGCAGAGGAGCTTGGGCTAGGGTAGTTAATTGGATAGAAAAGTGACTAGGAAGATAAGGGTTAGTTTAACAGGGTTTGTACAGAATTCTCTTGGACTCAACTTCCTGCCTTTGATGATAAAAATGTTGCTTTATTGCTAGTATAAGAAGGACATCTTTCATATGGGAGTTTCATCTCTTGCTTTAAAGAAACAAGAGGTTGGGGCCAGGCACAGTGGCTCACGCCGTAATCCCAGCACTTTGGGAGGCCAAGGCGGGCGGATCGTGAGGTCAGGTGATCGAGACCATCCTGGCTAACACGGTGAAACCCCGTCTCTACTAAAAATACAAAAAATTAGCCGGGTGTGGTGGCGGGCGTCTGTAGTCCCAGTCACTCGGGAGGCTGAGGCAGGGGAATGGCATGAACCCAGGAGGCAGAGCTTGCAGTGAGCCGAGATTGCACCACTGTGCTCCAGCCTGGGCAACAGAGCGAAACTCTGTCTCAAAAAAAAAAAAAAAAAAAGAAAAGAAAAAGAAAGAAACAAGAGGTCAAAGCATCCAGTGTGTATTCTGTATGCAAAAAGAAAAGAAAAAGGTCAAAGTAATCTTCTTGCACCTGTCGTTTTTCAGGTGTCTTTTTTTTTGAGACAGAGTCTCACTTACTCTGTCACCCAGGCTGGAGTGTAATGGCGCGATCTTGGCTCATTGCAACCTCTGTTCCACCTCTCAGGTTCAAGTGATTCTCCTGCCTTAGCCTCCTGAGTAACTGGGATTACAGGCATGCACCACCACACCCAGCTAATTTTTGTATTTTTTGTAAATTTTGTATTTTTAGTACAGATGGGGTTTCATTGTGTTGGCTAGGCTGGTCTTGAACTAGTCACCTCAAGTGATCCGCTTGCATCAACCTCCCAAAGTTTTGGGATTACAGGTGTGAGCCACCGCCCTCAGGCATCTAACTTAGTCAATCCACCAGGTGTCTAACTTAGTCAATCCAGCAGGGTGATATATTTTTAACTCTTTCAGTAGCCACTGGCTATGTGTGGCTATTGAGCACTTGAAATGTGGCTAGTACAGCCCTGAAATGGAACTTTACATTTTATTTAATATTATTTAATGTGAATGTAAATGGCCACCAGTGGTAGGCAGTTCCATCCTGGGCAGCGCAGGTGTGGGCAGTGGGTCTTTTGGCTCTTCTCCAAGGTGACTTCTACTCTTCTCCTGATCCACACCAGGGGTGCTTCTCCTTTTCTTTTCCTTCTTGTTTCAAGGATTCCTCAACTGTCTCTCTAGTCAGGCCTTATTCTGTGATGTTCATCTCTCTGCCCTGCCTCATTTCCTCCCCCAGCCTCTGGGAGAAGAAAGCACTTGCTCTACACAGTAATTAAATTTTGAAGGTTTTCTCCCGCTTTCGTGTGGACTGGCGGAATGGTGGGAGTGCCCACAAATTTCCTGTGACAAAGAAGAGAATGAAGGAAATTACCAGAAACCACCAAAAATGTCTCTCTTAATTGCAAGTACTAGCTTCGAGGAGGCAGTCTGTTCCGGCTCCTTTTCAACTGACTACAGATTTGAGAATCTAGAACTGTGTGCTTTAGAATAGGGGTGGATTTCAAAATGTGCATTTTCTAGACCCCAGCTGCAAGAGACCTTGATACCAAAACCCAGTGGCCTAGCAATCAGTATTTCTTAAATATCCATTAGAGCTTCTGCATCAAACCACGTTTGGGAACTGATTTAATCAACACACTGATTTACTTAGGAGTTTTTGATTTAGCCTCACTCCATTAAACGCCCATAGACTGCTCTGCTTTCCAAATGCTTATGTTCACTTTTTACGGTTTTTCTCTGATGTCCCCTGCATTTACGGTCACCTCCAACTTCCTGCCTCCTTCTCTCTCCAAAAGCACACAGATCAGCTTTTCAAAGTTAGAATAACGCATGTAGTAATCGTAAATAAACTGCATGAAGAGCTGAGATTTCTTTCTATCTCTACAGAGGCCTGAAATGTATGAACTCTGTGATATGTGCTTTAGTCAACTTTCTTTCTAGGAGTTTGGCCCCTCTTGCCTTGCTCTCTACAGACAGTCTTCATTTTTAAAAATTTTGCATGCCAGTGCCCAGAGTGTATTTATTAATAGTTTGAAACTGTCATAAATCCTCAGCATCTCTGCCTTAGCACTGCCAAGCTTGAATGGTCTAGACATTGTATTCAAAAATAACTCCCTCTGGGACAGGCCTGAAAGTCTCTGGCACAGGATTCCATCTATCTATGGATACTTCTCCTAGGAGATTAAAAGTCTTCCTGGCAGGCACAAATTTTGTCCCTGGAGATCCATCCACTATGGCCAGTATTATGTAAAGGATAAGAGTTCAGTGGTTGATATCCACTGAATATAATTCAGTCAACAAAAGAGTGGATTGTGCATATATTGCATATATGCAACTCATTTATAACCAAGGAAGAGAGGACCAACAGAAAGTTAGTTTGGGGAGATTTAAAAATAACTGAACTTATATTGGGGAAGTCTTGCTCTTGGAGATAAAAATGGCTTTTATTGCCAGCTGTTGCTCATTTTTTGGTAGGCGGTATCAAGCATGTGATGCTTTGGTGGCTACACCAGATTCTCTTTTGCAGAACTTGCATGTAGGGTGTGGGTTCCATCCAATCTGTTATCCCCCTGTTCCTTCATCCATCCCATTGCCATGCGAGTTTTACTGAGTAGGTGATATTTACTAGAGGCCACGGATCATTTACCATATCCTCATACCTAAAAGATTAAAGTTCACCTTGGCCCAGGACCCCTCTGGGTGGTCACGCCCCCTGCGCCGATGTCCCGGGAGTTAGCTGTGCGTGTGCTCGGCTCACACACACCCCTCTCCGGGGCCTCCTGGGAACTGTAGTAGGCGGCTCGCGCATCCCCGCCCCCATGACAGGACCTGGGCTACAGCTCCCGAAAGGCCTCGCGCGTCGCGCCTGCGCCTGCGCCCCTGCGGCCGCCAGAGGGAGGGCTAAGGCGCCTGGGCGCGCAGCGAGCCGGCTGAGGGGGCTGTGGCGGCTGCGGCTGGCAACATGGACAACGCGGGGAAGGAGCGTGAGGCGGTACAGCTGATGGCGGAGGCCGAGAAGCGAGTCAAGGCCTCCCACTCCTTCCTCCGAGGGCTGTTTGGGTGAGCGCCAGACCGTGCGTGCCCTAGGGGGTCTCGGTACTTGGCCCCCTTCCTTTCACGCTGACCCCCCGAGTCCCCCACGCGACATCTGGGACCCTCAGACCACGCCTAGGGGCCCTCAGCCTGCAGGCGTCCTCCAGAAATCCTGTAGGGCCCCCTAGCGCCCCCTGGAGTCCCCAGGACGCCCCGGGGCCCTCAGTCCGCACGCGCCCTCCGGAGACCCCACAGGGCCCCCCAGGGTCCCTGGAAACCCCGCATCCTCCCAGGGGCTCTCAGCCCCCACGCGCACTTTAGAGACCCCCTAGGGCCGGCAGAACCCCCCAGGGTTCCTCAGCCCCCACACGCCCTCCAGATCCCCTAACACGCCCCCTTGGAATCCCCAGAGTCTCACAGGGACCCTCAGCCCCCACGCGCTTTTCAGAGAACCCCTAGGACTCCCAGATCCCCCCAAGCGCCCCAGGAAGCCCCTAGAACACTCTAGGGGGGCTGTCAGCCCCACGCGCCCTCTGGAGACCCCGGATCTTCCCCGTCGCCCTGGCCCGGGTTGGTGCGGGGGTCCCACTACCTAGCAGGTCAGCAGCTCCCTGAGGGCCGGGGGCGGGGTAGCCCGGGGCGCGCGTGGGGCCCCCTTCTCCGTGCGTGGCGAGTCGTATTGGTGCATTTCGCCACGTTGAAGCCCGTATCGCTCCGGAGACCGGTCCGGGTGAGGCGCGCCCGGGAGGAACCGGAGGGGTCAGTGCAGGGGCCGCCCCTGGCGCCTGGCACGCGCTGCTGGGGGCGTCCTGCCTGCTGGTGGGCCCCGCGGGGGAGGGGGCTGCCAGGCGCCGGATCCAGAGCTGGTGTGCTTGTTGGCCTCCCGCCAGGGGCCTTGCGCCGAGTACACCTTTAGTAAATACTTGAATAATGAACGAACGTATTTTCTCAGCATAGTATTTTTCCTTCTCCGGAGATTGATTGATAGCCAGGGCCTCCTGTTTGATTAACGGTGACGCTGCTCCGGTTTAAGTCAGCGCCCTTTGGGAATCCCGTTAATCTCCTGTAATTCTTCCTTGCTCTCTTAAGGAGGATTTTGAATTCCAAGCTCTCAAAAAGCAGAGCCCGCACTGACAGCCCAGAATTCTTCTGGGCTGTTGAATATGTGAATGATTCAGCTGTTTAGGATGAGAAAGGCAGAAATTTTGTGTGTGCCTGTTTTCGTTTTTTTCTTTTGAAAGTGAAAGATCCTTTACTGTTACCAAGAGCAGATACTTAACCCATTGCATGACTAGACACGATTTCATTTCTGTACACATTCAGTTCGGACTCTTATTTCCGAAGACACACGTAATGGGCTCTTAGCTTGTTTTGCCAACTTCATTCTTTTGGCTATAAATTATAGTACTTTACGGCTATTGATATATCTTTAGGAAATGCTTAAGGACAAGTTTCGTGCAGTACTCATAACTGCAGAAATGCATAAAGGGCTGCAAAAATGCATGAAGATAAGGGTCCCTTATCTTCCTCTAAGAGGACATTTATCACAGCTGGTTTCTGAATTTCTCATGTGATGTGTAGGAGATATAGCTATGAATTATGTTTTGTTTTGCATTTAAAAGTTATAACAGTACCATCAAGTGCTAGCGCCACACTAACTCCTTTTAAATGTTTTGATTCACAAAACATTTAAAATTCACTCTGATAAAATTTAATGCCATAGTACCTCATGCCAGGAGTTTATTTTAATGTTACAACGTATTTCAAGTCAGGAAGTGCTTCCCTGTGGAAGAGTCTGTAACTGGCAGAGGAAAAAGCATGACAGCACTTGGTGCTTGTCTCAGGAGAACACTCCTTTTGGGAAAGAGGTTTTCGATGTTTTTAGGAAACTAGGCCAAATCTTGAGCTTATAATCCTTAACGGATTTTGAAAAGCCTTTGTTTTTAAAGAAACATCTCTCTTTTAACTGTTGCTACCTATGTTATTGACAGGACATATACGAAGACCAGTCTTCACCATTCACACTCAGTTTACACAAAAGTTAGTGCATCTTAGTTCTTACCCGGGTACAACAGGTCAGTTTATTATCTAGCTTTGGGTCTTAGGGCAAGTTACTTAGCCTCTCTGTGCTTCAGTTTCCAGTGTATAAAATGGAGACAATAATAGTATATCTCAAAATTTATGCGGGTTCAGTGAGGTTATGTTTGTAAAACGTTTGGAACCATGGATGTTGGAGACAGTGACTATGAGATATTAATTAACATATTAATCAAAATTGTCAGCTCCAGTTATTTATCAAAGAAGCAGTAGACCAAACAGATGACTTTTCCAGAATTTCAGAGCCAAAGACCTTTTAGAGTACATCACTGATTTTTTTTTTTTTTTTTTTTGAGACAGAGTCTCACACTGTTGCCCGGGCTGGAGTGCAGTGGTGCGATCTCAGCTCACTGCAACCACTGCCTCCCAGGTTCAAGCGATTCTCCTGCCTCAGTCTCCTGAGTAGCTGGGATTACAGCCGCCCACCACCACGCCTGGCTAGTTGTTTGTTTGTTTGTTTGTTTGTTTTGTATTTTTAGTAGAGACAGGGTTTCACTATGTTGGCCAGACTGGTCTTGAACTCCAGACCTCATGATCCATCTTCCTTGGCCTCCCAAAGTGCTGGGTTTACAGGCATGAGTCACCGCGCCCAGCCTCATTGATCTTTTAATGAAATAAAATATCTGAAAGAGCTTTAACCATTAATGCAAGTGTGATTTATACTTTGAAGACTGTTATTTCCAGTAATACTTGCTCCAGGAAAGCTTGCAGGAAGAAGAGTACTTACAGTTTTAGGAGTTGAGTAATATTATGTAATTACTGAACCCAGAAAACAGACGTAGTGTCTCTGTGACAGTTGGACAATTAAGATTCTGTATCAGTGTTAGATGTTTAGAATCCTACCTTATAGATGGCACGTATCATCACCTTTCTAGACTGGAATACATGTCACTCCACCCTGCGCCTGCCTTCTTAGCTATGGAATGTCCCCATATTCATTCCTAAAGGTCTACATGTAATCCTTTATTTAAAACGCAGGGTAGTCCATCTCTGTGTCAGACTCCTGAATTAACGTAACACAAAATTAATAAAACACACAGACTGACTTGAATATCATCAGAGCTCATGAGCTGACTAGCTGGTGCTTTAAAGAGGAGAGGCGATCTGTTTTGAGGTTGTGGCAGTCATTAAAAGGTGCTTGGCATATTGCAGATATTTCACATCACAGACATTCTGAATGTTCTGTCCGCAGATTAAAGCCTGTCATGAGTTTTCCTCTAGTGTTTACCACTCACACTGGTTTTGTGGCAATACTGTATTCTTAGTAGTATTCTACAGTTTGTTGTTGTTGTTGTTGTTGCTTTCAGTAAAATTAGATGAAAATATGCTTGTGTATTTATGAGAATGTGTCAGTCAAATATTTCTTCTCTGTGTAAGGCACAAATCCTCTGCCTTATCTGCTTGTTAGGTAAGGTATCAGTATTCCTTCCCCACCCCCACCTTCCTCCCCAGGAAAAGAGCTGACAAGGGATGCAAACATTGCAGGAAACCACTGTTGTGATGGTTTGTGTTTCTGCTTAATTACCAGTTAAACAGTGATGTGCTTTTGTAGTTGTGGAGTTAAAACTTTTTCTCAAGTTTGTAGTATAGTACATTTAGTAAAACTGCTTCCAAAGGAGTTATATTGTCCTTTAGTTTGTTGACAGGAATGAGCTATGGAATTTTGTAGTTAATTTCAAATTCCAACATATAATGTTAATGAGGTACTGGTATGATTTTAAATCGGCCTGAGGCTGACATTAAGATAGTTTTCAATTGGAAAAGCCTCTTTTAGTACTGTCCCCTCCATCTTGTTGCTGTGAGACCTGACTGGGAATAACCTGCACAATGCACATAGAAGAAAGTGCTTAAGAATGACAGTGGATAGGAACACTTTTACACTGTTGGTGGGATTGTAAACTAGTTCAACCATTATGGAAAACAGTATGGCGATTCCTCAAGGATCTAGAACTAGATGTACCATATGACCCAGTCATCCCATTACTGGGTATATACCCAAAGGATTATAAATCATGCTGCTATAAAGACACATGCACACGTATGTTTATTGCGGCACTATTCACAATAGCAAAGACTTGGAATCAACCCAAATGTCCATCAGTGACAGACTGGATTAAGAAAATGTGGCACATTCCAGCCACAAAATGTGGCTGGAATACTATGCAGCCATCAAAAAGGATGAGTTTGTGTCCTTTGTAGGGACATGGATGCAGCTGGAAACCATCATTCTTAGCAAACTATCACAAGAACAGAAAACCAAACACCGCATGTTCTCACTCATAGGTGGGAACTGAACAATGAGATCACTTGGACTCGGGAAGGGGAACATCACACACCGGGGCCTATCATGGGGAGGGGGGAGGGGGGAGGGATTGCATTGGGAGTTATACCTGATGTAAATGACGAGTTGATGGGTGCTGACGAGTTGATGGGTGCAGCACACCAACATGGCACAAGTATACATATGTAACAAACCTGCACGTTATGCACATGTACCCTAGAACTTAAAGTATAATAATAATAATAAATAAAATAAAATAAAATAAAAAAAGAATGACAGTGGAGACTAGATGCAGTGGCTCATGCCTGTATCCCAGCACTCTGGGAGGCCAAGGCAGGAGGATCACTTGAAGTCAGGAGTTTAAGACCAGCCTAGCCAACATGGTGAAACCCTGTCTCTACTAAAAATACAAAAATTAGCCTGGTGTGGTGGCGGGCACCTGTAATACCAGCTACTTGGTAGGCTGAGGCAGGAGAATCACTTGAACTTGATAGGCGGAGGTTGTAGTGAGCTGAGATCGTGCCACTGCACTCCAGCCTGGGCCCCCGAGCGAGACTCCGTCTCAAAAAAAAAAAAAAAATGCCAATGGAAAGATGTTCTTTATGGTTAACGCTGTCTTCTTTTGCCTTTCAGTGTTTAGTCTCAGAGTTTACACAAGAGCTATAAATCTGGCAATGTCAATGTAAATTTAATGAAAGGCCCCACTGGGTTATCTTGAAATAATTATGAATCTATAATTTATTAGCTGTTTGTGAAAATTGTGAATATTAAGCATTGCAGACTATAAATTATCAGTATTCTTCACTTGTGTTTATTTCAACAAAGATTGCTTTTAAGTTTTGCCAGAATATGGTGGGGCCATGTGATAACATAGGTGAAGCATTTAGGTTTTCCTCAGTTACAATTGTTGTTCAAATGCAGATTGAACTTTTTAAAAAATTATTAGGCTCAGGTTTACTTATAGAGACAGGTGATACGGTATAAGAAATACATATGTATATTTGTGTATCTTTCTCAAAAGAAATAGATTATAAATTGAACAATTATTTTTATAAATTATATAATACCCATAAGAAATATAATTATATTGTTATTCATGGGGAGACCAGGTGGAGGCTCAAGTTCTCATTTACTATTTTGGTGACCATAGTCAAGTAAATCATACTCAGAACTTGTTTTTTTAGTTTTCAAATGGGCAGAGGGACAGAATCTGGTTTTCACGGTTGTTAAGGATTGAATGAGGTCAGAATGCTTATTCAGTTGCACAGAGCTATATAACTTTATTATAATTGTTTGGTTTTCTGATTTTTTTTTTTTTTTTTTTGAGACGGAGTCTCGCTCTTCGCCCAGGCTGGAGTGCAGTGGCGCGATCTCCGCTCACTGCAAGCTCCACCTCCCGGGTTCACGACATTCTCCTGCCTCAGCCTCCGGAGTAGCTGGGACTACAGGCTCCCGCCACCACGCCTGGCTAATTTTTTTGTATTTTTAGTAGAGACGGGGTTTCACCGTGTTAGCCAGGATGGGCTTGATCTCCTGACCTTGTGATCCACCCGCCTCTGCCTCCCAAAGTGCTGGGATTACAGGCGTGAGCCACCGTGCCCGGCCAGTTTTCTGATTTTAGGTTGTTACAGCTTGGTATCAAATGATAAGCTGTTACCAGACTGGCCTTTTTCTTGTTGCATTTTTGCAGTTTTCTCCACATATTCTTTCATTCTTGTGAGCTCTGTGAGGTGCGGTTACTCTGGAGAGAGAGGGAGGGCCAGTGGTCCTGTGTGGCTCCTTGGAAGTCTGCCTGTTTTGTTGCTGTGGCTAACACGTCACCCAGCCTGAGGCATGTGGT